ATCATAGCGGTAAGGTTTAGTCCTACAGGGTTTGTCGGCAGTTAACTGTATCTCATGCGTAACTATTTGACAATTACCAGGCCGTTCTGAAAACAAGTTTGAAAAAGTACTCACCACTTGCTGGATGGCTTGACTTTCATGGTCATTCAAATGGCTAAGGTCCAACTTGCGGTTGTTTCCACTGGTTCCACCACCCTCCGATCCATCTCCAGCACGAATAGAACTTTCCTGAAAATTCAGTTTGGCCTTCGCGGCCTTTAAAAACTCCATACCTAAAATAAGTGGATTTTGCAAATTTTTTACTACAAAAATTAATACTTTGAGGCTTTCCTCTTTTACCTGTATTTTAATGATAATTTCCCGATGCATTGACAGGTTTTTCCTTGCGCCGCTATAATTTCTGTGTTTTTATTTTTAAATAATCGTAACCTATTAAAAATTCTTCTTTGAAAAATGTATCACTCATAAAATTACCTTCTGCTCTGTATCGATGAGGGCTTCTACTGGTACATCGCCAACCAGGACTTGTATAATTGGTAATTGTGAGTTCTTTACGATGACCGTATTTAAGTGTCTTCTTGAGGGTTTTTTTTTCAAAACTTCCGGGGTCTGGACCCTCGCTTTCACAGGCCCCTCTACTCGTTTAAAGCTTTCCTTTCAACTTCTGCCTTCTGGGTACGCGGACGGTTGTTTTCAATTTCAAATTTCCTTTTTGGGCCTTGACCTTCGAGCTTCGATGAGTTAGCTTGATAGCTCTTTCCCCCATAAGAGCGGTTTGCATTTCTGGTCTGCTCATTTGAAGATTGCCTTCGGACTTTGAGAATACGATGCCCCTCTAGCTTTTTTCCGCTATTCTGCGATTTTGGAAACTTGACCGCCAATTCGAAGAGCTCCTGCAATGTGCTTGGGTTTCTAATTTCGAAGTAGTCTTGAACAGCAGGTAACAATCTTGGTAAGATTATTTCAATAATCTCCGCGTCGGGTTTCTTCCCATACAGCATATCCGTCAGCTTAATTTTTCGCAGAATAAAGTCCGTCAACTCTTCTATATTCCCGTTGATAAAAACTATATAGTTCGGCTTCTAGCCTTGCTCGATCTTTCACTATGGGGAAGGCCTTTAATAACGATTTTTTGAAATTTTCAAATGTATATGTCTGGCCTCCGAATTCCCCTAATAAAAATTTGCCTATATTCTTCCACCATAGCGCGGCCTGTCCTCTTAGTGCAGATGTGGCGATGGCAACTTTTTGTCTTTCAGGCACAGGGTAGAGCTGGAAAGTGATTTTCGAGGCCTTCTAGAAATATCGCCACCGAATTTTTTCCGTCGAAATTGACGTTTGGCTTGATTGACGCTCTCATCGTCTGGACCAGGTATCCAAATCCTTCCAATTGGCTTGCCATTTCTTGTTGTTGTTGTCAGGCTTCCATCCAATTTTCGGCCATTTCAGTTCGTAAGTGTTCGGGCACCAATATGATGTTGGGAGGCCCAACTTGTCACAACATAGTGGACTGCTATGAACTGGAAATTACCAACTCATCATAAAATCCATAAAGTCATTTTATTGTTATTATCTCCTAAAAAACTAGCGAACGCATTATAATAAGAGAAGATAAAATACAATATAAAAGTTGCAACATAAAAATACAGTATCAAAGATTCAATATTAAAGGTAAAGTATATAAAGTATATATATATATATATAATATGCAATATAAAATACAATATGAAAGAAAACGAACACTATGCATTGTCCAACGTATACATATAATTGCGCTATTACATACTATAATAAAATTACTAGGTGATTTGCAGTGCCAACGACTTTGAAATGCTGAAGCTAAGCATGTTATACCTAAAAATTTAAACATGCTGTAAAAGCATATCAGCAGGCATGAAAGTATTTTGGTAGAGGTACACAGCATAGTATATAATTAGTACTGGATTATATTATCAATGAATCTTAATATATTATTAATTAAACATAGTTACTGAATACAATAATTGCAACAAAATGGGATTGTTTAACTAAAACAGGGTGTTTTCTAGTTATTTAGTCGATTGAAGATTCCAAGTGCCGCTTCAGTGCAGTTTTGTGTACGTCTGAGCGCGATGGAATACGTAAATATTAGTTGATACTTGTTTGGTACTTATTTCTGGGTAATTTCTCTGATGATATTTGCTTCTGGATACGGCTCACCAGCGACTGAGCGCTAAAATCGCTTAACACTAGTAGTTCCCATCTAGGTTCGATTACAGGCAAACGGGCTGGCTGCATGGGGGTTTTCGTAGTTTTCCCCATGTGTAACGTATATACGAAGAAGTTTCCCTTAGGAAGTCCTTTACAAAAATAGACAGATAGCTCTAGTGTGCTTAGTCATGATCAAATGAAGCCAAAACTTGTCTCTTGGCAGTAAAAAATGTAATGGTCAGGGTCTCCAACCTCTGCAATCAACATATGGATTGCGCACTGTCCCGGAAGCTGAAACGAAATATATGCATAGATCTTGTCCCATCAGGAATTGTATCAGCTGAGAAGTATCGCTGTATTTTTTACCACTTACTTTTTTTAATCTTATTTTTTTTTTTTACAATTTCCCTTGAATTGTTCGATTATTATGATAATGTATGTTAATTTACATCATTAAGATTTGAAAGCCAATGTTAGATCTTTAATAAGGTGAATCGGATGACAGTATGTGGAGGCATTGCCACTGGCTAGACACGTTTTTCTTCACCATCTGGAAAACGAAGCCATGCCAACAAACGGCGGTTATGTTATACAGAGTCCGATACCCGGACTTCCAATATCCGGGCCTCCATTCCACAAACCGGAAAAATAAATAAATAAATAATATAAAATAATATAAAAATTCCGTCCCTTAGTGGAAAAATTTTCGGAATGGAGAGTATAATGCTTAAGAAAATGAAGAAGCATGGGTAAATGTGACTAACTGAAATTCCTGCATCTCATTTACTATAAAATTTTGAAACACAGGAAGGAATTATGAATAACCATGTGTGCATGCTTTATGTTCGACTAAATACTAGCTCTCATTATAAAAGTATTGAACTTTTAATGTAATCACTTATTTCAGAATGCAAGGATTATGTAACTTTTCAACTCTTACATCGCAATCTGAAACATCAAATTGCAATATTATTATATTTTGAGCTGTATTTAGTTTAAATATTCTTTTATGCTCTACGTAAGGCTCAAAGAACAAACAAAGCTTCTTAGTGTTTGATAATTTTATATTTTACAGGTTAATTTATAATCATATATTTTTTTTTTATTTCTTCATATCTTAAACTTTGCTATACTCAAATATTATGTTTAACATGCTTCAACGTTTTTTCAGTTTGCAACTTCAAAACAATGGGATTTGATTCTTTTATATAACAATCAAAAAGTTAAATATAACTTTATGACTGTGATTCAAAATAAAAAAGAAGAACATTAATTAATGAAATTTATTAAACAACTCTTCCATTGAAAGAATAAATTCATCTTCTTTTGGAACAGTGAATACAAAATCTGTTAGTCCTGTTTCTTTATTTAGACATTTCTAAGCTAAACCTCCCCGAAATTTAATTTTAGTGTGCTTCGTAAAAACAGTCAAATTTCCTGGGAAAGAAAATTGAGTCCAAATTCCAAAGTTTTAGATAATATTTCTCAATTCGTGTACCATAAATGCATTAACACATTTTGTTTTCCTGCTAATGCATAGCATAGTTCATTTTGACTTGAATGTTTTCAAACATTAAATAATTTTGAAACTGTAGCGCTATATTCCTACATTAAATATACGAATACCTAAATAAGCTATCGGGTTTGGGAACACTGTATGTATTATAAACACATTAATAACTGGTACACGAAAATAACCGGAATCTCATGAAGCTTTTCTCACTCAGTACAAATACTGTTGGCGTGTCCCAGTATTTGTATGACAGTGTGCCAGTAACATGACTACCTATACGAAAGGTATAGGTAGTCATGCTCTACCTATACCTTTCGTAGCATAGACCCTCGGTCTTCTGGTTTAACGCCATGTAACTTCTTCCTTTACATGTATATTAAAGGACTGTGTTTTCGTGCTTAAGATCACTGCCAACAATACTGGAGGAACTCAAAAACACACCATTACTGTTATCATAGCTAAGGACAGAGAAATTCTATAAAAATTACGGACCGAAATTCAAATAATACTTAGATTTATGTCGTGTGTCAAAGAATGTTTGTAGTTTATAAGGAGACCTTGATGAGTTTCCAGTTCTTTTCACGTTTTGATTATTTTTGTATTTCTAATACTTTAGAATATAAAATATTTTGAATTCTCTTGAATCAGTTACCACATCCCTGTACTTTCAAACATCGGAAAATTTCTAATGCTTAAAAATGATATATGCAATGTGTTAGACCTATTGGAATATTTAATGAGATCGAAGCTGAGCTCCAAAATCTTCTGTTGTTGAAGTACACACAGATAAAGAAGAATGAAATTTTTATTTTGGAATAATCGAAAAAGACGTTGGAAAAACGGTTGAAGGCTACCTTTTATATCATTTCTTTTTTTAAAATAAAATCAGTTTTTAAAATAATGTCAGCTCTCTGTGGAGCTAGAATCTGTTATTTTTTATTTCTAATGTATTTAAAATGCTTCGCACTCATAATTTATAATGCTGAGAAATAAAATTGTGGTGTAAAACACTTATAGTTACTCTCTTACTGCCTAGATTATAGCAATTATTACCTGTATAAATAAACATTTATTTTAATGTGATTTATTATTTTAGACTATTAAATTCGACTAAACCGAAATTCTTCAAATCTAAAATTAATGTCTGTCTAGGAAATGGAAAGATATATGATTAAGTTGGAATTTAAATTATTTTTTACTTATCGTGTTATGTAATGAGAAATCATATTATCAATGAGAACTATTTGCCAAAGTATTCTGTATTACATCCTATTTCTGATTCAATACTTATTTTTAGAAGTCGAGGACAGCCCTCCACATAGCAGCTTCTTTAGGCTACTGTGATGTCGTTGAGACTCTCCTTAACTTTGGAGCTTGCCTTAATGTTAAAGAAAAGGTGAGTTGTTTATGTATTTTCTATCTTATTTATAAGTGAATTTTAAGAAATGTAATGCTATGCATCAGATGCTAAACGTAAACGAAGTTTCCTATTTTCAGAGACTAATCTTATCTTTTGTATCTAGAATTTTCATGATTCCGACAGTTGATTTTCATACAAAATTTTATCACTTATTAAATGGAATTTCAAAGAACATATTCAAATGAAACTACATGATTAAATTAAACCAAAATCGGTGAACAGAAACATTACGTAAGAGCAGCGAAAACCAGTGCGAGCATATCCTTCGTAAAACCTTTATCAATATTTAAATCCCACAAAAATTGGCGTTTGTCGCATTTTCATCATTTACCAGTCATAACAATTTTGTTTGCAGTATATTGAAATTTAATTGCCCATCGATCATGGATATATGTATCTTAGAAACAATGTGTTTGTTTCAAATTTTTATTAATTACTATTACTGTAATTGATACTTTTGTTTCTGTTTTTTGCGTTGTTTTATTTGATAAACCTGTATTCAATAAAATTAAAATATGCCATAAGCCAACTGTTGTGATCGTACAATCCCATGAATAATACATACTGAATTTTCCATAATATGTAACAGAGTTCATTTATATACATGTATTTTTCATTACGGGTTAATTAACGTACCCTAAGCACACAAAATCACACTCATGCTTATACACAAACGTCAAAATTATTCTAAAAATTAAATTTTGTTTGATAAATATATAAGGAGATATGCTCATATATTCTTTTTGTATAGTGTTAGGCATGGGTTAATAAAATTAAAATTACATAAAATAAATTCTCATTTATTACTTAACAAAATTCATTTGCCGGGGCACTTGCAAAAGGCGGCTGCGATCTCAACACATTGTTCTTATTCTCCTGCCAAATACAAAACCGATTAAAATGCCTATGAAAATATGAAAAGTGATTCAAACATAGAGAGTATATATGAACCTTCAAGGAGGAAGCACAGATTAAATTTGGCTAAAGAAAGCATCGCCAAGATAAATTAGTTCTTGTAAAGTTAAATAATTGTGCATTGAATTACGGGATATCGCAAACGAATTTAATTTATAAAACGGTTAAAAAATTGATTTACAAAATGAACTTTTATTTACGCATGAATCGGTAAAGTTATAACACACTTTCAAAGAGTAAATACTCCGTTTAATATGGAACATAATATCTGGCAAATGCCCTTTACGTTACGTATGATACTCGAGCAGTCTTAACACAACGGATTTCTTCTTCTCAAGAATGGCTGATATGCGTATCCTGTAATCCTCGGACTTTACAAATACCGCGAGATAAAAATCACATAGTGTTAAATCGCATGAGTTTAGTAGTGAATTTTGATCACTGTTGCGCGAAATCAGCCGTTCATGAAATTTCTGCTGTAACAGTTTAATAGTTTGGTGCGCCACATGACATATGGCACCATCCAGCTGGACGAGTATCTCATCAGTATCCAAAGTCGAGATTTGCAATTGAGGCCACAAAAATTCTGTTATAAACTCTCTAACGTACCTCGCTGACAAATACCGTAAATGTATTTTTGCGATAGTTAATGCGCTCTTACATAGTGTAACTCTCCATAACAACTAACTCACGACGAACCAGGATGTCATTATTACAACTTGTGCTCCACACAACGCTGCCCGCCCAACGGAAAAATGGCACCCAATTTAAATCTTACCTTAATTCTGAGATACCCTACATATTTTACTCTCTTAACTACTACTATACTACTATTATATTTATTCTTCCTAAACATCTCGCTCTTTTTATCTGAAAACCTGAAGATATAAATAGTAAAAAATTGCGAAATATATTATGCTTTTAATTTTACATATATTTTATATTTTACTACAGATATACATTTCATTTCATGTATAATTTCATATATTGTAAAGTAATTGAAATTTACGAAATACATATTGGAAATTACAGAAAAGGAATTCCCTGAAGAAAATAATATTTAACGTTCATCGGAACATAACTATAAATTCGTATAAATACAGCTCTTCGTTCACAGGCTGCACACTATTATTTAATCTCGGTTTTATTGCAGAACATTTTATTATTATTATATCTTTGGTCAACTGATATAGGCATTCCAAATTACTTTGCCCTAGTTACTACTAAATGATTAAAAATACCACACAAAAACGAAAATTGTTCTTATATTTATGCCTAAGTTATATATTTTATAGAACTAGCCACCTTGGTCGCTTTTCCTAATTAGATTTTCATTATATGGCAGCTAAATTCGATTTATCTTCGCTTTCCTATTCGAGTACTTTCGTTTGTAATTCGATAAAAACGGGATACTACAGTTTCCTATTGGTTCCACTTAGGATATATAATAATTGGAGGCTTTCGTTTAACAACGCAGCTCTCATTTTAGTTGTGATAAAAATTGTTATATACTGGTGACCCCTGGCATTTATTACGGAAGATATAAAAGTTGTTTCCGTATTTTTAGATGCACTTTGCTAAATTATAATTAATGTTTTGAATAAAATATTTGCTGTTGAACCTTTTGCTGTATGATAAATATATATCTCGATTTTCAAGATAAGGAGGTATTTCTGATATTTAGGAGTAATACTTTTCTGCAAACATTTCTACAGTTTCACGTAGTCCATCCAGTGTCACGTCTGCTTTCAGAAATTATTTTTGAGAGTAATCCATTGGCAAATATCGTAAAATTTTGAAAGAATGTGAACAAGAGATACAGGTTTTATGCCAGAGAACAAAAGATATATGTTCCTGTGAAAAGAGATATAGGTTCGTTTGTGATTTTTGCTAATGAATATGGCAGTAAATGTATATAGCTAATATAAATACCAAGTTAAAATTATAATCTATGACGATTCTATATAAACATTTGAAGTTAAATAAAGAGTTGAAACATTGTTTTAGTAATATTAATAATCATAGAATGAAACAAAAAGATGACATTAGGTAGTTTAAATTCTATTCAGAACTCAACTGCATAAGTCCCTATTCTTCAGAAAAAATATTCTGCCATGAGATATAGAAAACTGATCCTCGCATTATTTTTATTTGTGTTAACATTTTTGTTATTACATGAGAAACTAGCAGCATTTACGCTTTGGCAGCTGAGGATATTGTTCCCATAATATCATATTTGCGCTTTGGCAGCTGAGGATGATGGTTCAGTAAAACTATCGAAAGTAGTCCTGTGAAAATTTGCAAATATAACGCTGATTTTTGTTGTTTTAATTCTAAATTAATACTTGTTTGGCGTGTTATTTTATCTTAAGGTATAATTAGTTAAAAAGATAAATACATCTCATAAATGACCCTGATTCCCCAACGAAACCCGTCCATATAGTTCCGTAAATACATTGGTATATATCATGCAATGTGTATCTTTAGTTTTTATTATTATTGCAGTATGTAAGAGCTGTTATGCTTGGTAAGAGTGATCTGTATGGTGAAAATAGTTGTTATTAATGCCTACTTTTGGTTTGTTATTATCAATCTAGCGTATCACTGAGATTTGATTCAGTGAACCATAATTAAGGTGAGTATTTAATTTTACTTCTGAGCCTGTTGTTAAAAATAGATGAAAGCATATTTATCGTATAATATATTTCTTTCTTTATAGTTACAGAGCAAAACTTCATATTTAGTTTTTACTATTAAGTATCAGTTGCTTCTCTAACCAATTGTAGGAAAAATGTTATTAACTTCTAGTTTGATTTCGAGTTAACATAAAGTAAATTGATTTTGCTTTTACTTTTCAATTTTCGTTGTCTGTAATTAACAATTACTTACTCGCTGAATTCATCTAAATTCTTACTTCATAGGAAGTAAGTAGCTGAAAACTTAACTAGAAAGCTTACAAGCTTACTTATTCTAGTGCCTCAGCATCATTATCCTCAAAGTAAACAGACCTTAAATAAATAAAAAAAGTCGTTTCAGGTTTAGCTGTGACATTTAATGCAGCAGCTTAAACATGACTCGTTTCTCTGCCGCTGACATTTTGTACTCAGAATTGCGTCATAAGATTTTTTTAATTTTTAATTATTCGACTAAGTACACATTCGCTTCTTCCCCTAAAAGAAGTGTCATAATCTAAGAAAACCTAATCTCATCATCACTGACACGATGTTCATGAATTTACTAAGTCCTCCCTTTCTTTTTTTCAAACATGCTATTAAAGGAAATAAAAATTTGAAGGGTTTCTTTGTGAGGAATATTAATCATTATATTCTCAATAATTCTTGTAAAATATTGACATGAAAAGTTAATCATCTAAATAATCATCTGAAGGGCTATCATTGTGTAAGCAAACATATACATATGCATTCAAAGCACCACTTAAAAGAGACATTAGTTTCAGGATTACCCACCATTCAAAAACTTAGATCAAAATTTTAAATAGGTATCCATCACTGTTTGTAAGCAATCTTTATATGCATTTTTTTACTTTTATCCAAAGCAACGTACAGACTCCCGCAAAATACTTGAATACATGAAGTACATCGATTACTAATTCATTAAAATAATTTATTACTTTCGTTCAACGTTAATCTCTTTTATAAACTGCTGCACTAAGAAAATTAACAGGATATTTTCTGTTCATTTTTACGTTCATTAAAAGCATGTTCACTTTTACATATACTTGCTCACGTCCTTGTTTGAAATAAAATCATACTTTTCCTCTCAGACTTCAATGAATTACAGAGAAACAATAATAAATAAAATATAAATACTTTACAAAACTTTATAAGCAATACTTTATAAATATGATAACTATATAAATACTTTATAAATATAATAAGTTTAAAAGTATAATAAATTTAAACAGAAAAATGAAAACAGAAAAATTTAAACACAATAATAAATAAAAATAAATACTTACAAATACTTTATAAGCAATACTTTATAAATATGATAACTATAAATACTTTATAAATATAATAAGTTTAAAAATATAATAAATTTAAACAGAAAAAATGTCAGATTTAAAAAATATTAATCGAGTCGAATTTTAAACAGAATAATTCAATCCAAATTTTTAATTAATTTGTGATACCTTACCTTAGTTCTACCAAATAAAATGTATGATTCATTTGTGCATTGTAATCTCTTTGGAAATTAGATCATAAAAACGTACTATGTTTTTGTATGATCCAATAAATTTTTTTCTTCAGCAACCATATTTAACAAAGTGTAGAACTTTCCCAAGCTTATATTGTTTCTCTCATTATGAAACCGATCCATAAAGTGCAGTTTGAAGAATAAAAAGGTAAATAAATATACACAGCTTAATATCCTTGACTTGAACAAGCATGTTTATTTTCAGCACGGGAACACGCCTCTGCACCTGTCTGTTCAAGGAAATCACCCCTCAATGGTTGAACTGCTGATGAAAAAAGGAGCTTCCGTCAACACTCTCAATGCTGTAAGTAAGAAAGAAAGCAAACCTATGTTGTTGTTGCTGTTTTTCTGTGAAAAATCGTTACGTGGAATTTATCTATGCACATTCTTCCTTTTGTATCGGAAAAGATTTCGAGAACAATAATTTCGTTCAACGTAATGTAAACAGAAACAGGTGATTACGCACTATTTCCTCATCATCAGAGTTGCCCGTTTAGCATAATCAATGGAAGGTAACAGCAGTGCGATCTGAAATTTACATTTGGTCTAAGCTTCTCTGAAATGTGATACTGTAAGGGGCCATATACACAGCGTGTCTAAGAAGTTTTAAACTGAAGTTCATGCAAAATCTAAAGTTGAAGGAAACAATATTCTCACTTCTTAGCCTTCAATATACAGTCAAACACCGCTGTAATGAACCTTGTTTATAACGACCCCCCCGGATGAAAAGAATGAGCATTTTCGGCCTGGTTTCCTGTACACTTATCATTATTTTCATTATTTTAAACGTTTATGGCGAACATCCAAATACATGAAAATTGGATTTGAAGAACTTTATTGGTATTTTCGACTGAAACCTTTATTTATTTATCTTTTACAAACATTATCTGCGTTTTAACTCAAAAATTACTAAACATCAAAATCATGCATTATTACGATATTAGAATCAATAATTCTATCTATGTTAGCTTAGTAGACAACACTTTTAAGTTACTGTATCTTCCCTATCTTTCTAAATGTTTTTATGAAAGGCTACGGGAGTCACGTCCAACAACTAGCTCTTGGGGAACTAGGGAACACAATAATCATATTTTAGGATTGTACATAGTATCCGTGACTGGTAGTTCAAAGAAGTATAAAGGGATCTCTGGTTCTAGCTCTGTTCGAGATTGATGCTATGATCAAAATTTTGAAATTTTCCCTGTTCAAGTAAAGAGGAAGTAGAGAATAAATTCTTATGCACTTCACGCTTATAAGCTTAATTCGTCTTTTAAGGAGAGGAATTATTTATCCTTGTGAGTTTTTTTTTTGGGAGGGGGGTCAGAGTTTAAAGCGTTGTCTGAATCGGGAGGAGTGCATTCTTTAGCAAGATGTTTGACATTTTTCAATTTTTGCATATTTGTTTAGCAGCTATGCATGTACTGGAGAACTCAATTCGTTCTTGGATAATAGAAGAGATCATAAATGCTTCACTTTTCATATTTTCTTAAAGGGCTAAACTTCATATGTTCTTTTATCTAGCTCTCTTAATTCTGACTGGGGAAATTTTCTGTGTCAAAGATTCATCATCTTTCCGAAAGGTAAATGCAAAATATTCTGCTTTGAAGATAAGTTAATTATTATTTGGAAAAGGCTGAATGGATATAACCGACCTGATATCAGCCGTGAATGCCTGTATTCAAATCTACAGTTGGTAACATGTGGAAACATTACGACTCAAGAAAAACATTTCGATACCAGAAAAACGTTGAGAAAGCCATTATGATTAGAACTGAACATCGTACAATATTGTGATGGAAAATCTCGAAAGGCAAGATGTTTAAAATCTGTGAAAAGTCTTCTTGTTTCTTTCATTCCCAAACATGCGATGACAATTGTTTTATGCGTAAAAGTTTGAATGATAAAAATATGGTGTCAGAAGTTAAAATTAGAAATGCTGATGTTGGTGTAAATGTTAAAGAAATGCAGCACAAGCAAAGCTAACTCTCTACTACGGCGGATTTCAAAGTTGCAATGGCTTTTCTTGATAACTTTGTATTCGCATAAACTAGAGAGACGAAAATGTAGCCTGTTTTCCAGTTTTAGGAGATATGTATAAATAAAACGCTTTCCTACAATTTGCATCATGGCAGTATAAAATTAAAGATTAAATTTTGCACTCCGATGTTAAATAAAGTTAAATTCAACGGTATCTTTTATTATTCATTTTTAGAGTGTTTACATTTCTTAGATAAAATAATTATTCATATTTATAAATCTATATTTTAGATAGAGACCTGTAATTGGACAGAAGGGTCTGAACCACGCCTTTCATACTATCGGCGTTATAGATTTATTATGTAAAATTACTATCGTAATATGAATATGAAAATAATGAAACCGAGATTTAGTAATTATATGCAATGATGATTGAAAGTAGCCTTTACATGATTTTTGAAAATTAGAGTTTCTGTTTATTTCTTTTAGGAGATTTTACAATTTTAATGTCTTTTTTATGATACGGCAATCACATTTTTGCACTATTTTGTGAAATAATGTATTTTATTTCTTGTCGCGACATATATATAAAACCAAACAAGATTTCCGTTCTTTGAATTTATTACAACTGGATTCTACTGTACAATCTTCGTACGCTTGGCACATTTATTCAGCTGCTTGTTACCTTTGTAGAACTCGGTTTTAGGAATATTCTTTACGTCACTCGCTATGGTTTTTCTGAATCTCTTTACTATTGTTAAAAAACTAACGGGAAGTGAAGGAAGAAAAAATAGTCTACAGGTGATAGCTCATCTAAAATAAATTGGGCTGAAATTTTTAGCACTTCTCTTCACTAGAAACCACTTATAGAGATCGGACTGTCAGCAGCAGAAATATGTTATTCGACTGAGCTTTTTAAGGCTTAACACGCTAAATTCTACTTAAAAATCTTCTTATTATATGGAATAACTGACCTTAAGGAAAACATTTCTTGAGAATTATAATTTTCTAATAAAAAAGGTGTGCAATATGGTCTTTACTCAAGATTTTTTAACTGAAATTTCTGCGGTGTAGTGAACCTTCTCCGACTCCAGCAGATGCTTGCCGTTTTCTCTCAAAAATATACTCAACTTTCGAATTTCTATCTCCAGTCCCAATTTGCTTGAAAGAAATTAATATTAATGTCCACCATTCAGCCAGTCATACCATGCAAAAGACTTATCTGCTTTCTGTTCTATAGTCAATGCTTGAGGGACAAAACGTGAACAAATTTTCCCTTTTCCAACTCTCCAATGTCAAGTTTGTGAAAAGTGTCTTTATTGATTTTAAACTTTTGAAGATACTGACAATTTTTCAGCAACTGTTGAACGTCTTCCATGTTTTCATCCTTTCGAGATTGAGTTTCTGAGGTTTTCATCAACGTCTTCACATCCATTACAAAATCAATGAAGAATATTGTGTTGGATTAATGCTTGATCGCCCGTGTGCTTTACGAAACATTTCGATGTCTCCCTTTCTTAGCTTGAACTAATTCATGACACCAGATGTTGACTACATCAAAGTAAATTACTAACTGCATAAACATTTTTATGCGTAAACAGATGTCATGGTAATAAATGCTATCAGCTCTAGTTTCCCAGCTTTACTGGAATTTAAATATTTATAAAAACATTAGTCTTAAATCTGTCTGCTTATTGCTTGTGCGTTACGTTACGTTGACTCTAAGCATATTTATGAAACTAATTTATGATAAAAATTTCATTTTATTTTGTATTATTTAAACTAATCAAGCAGTTGTAATGTCATTAATTATTTATATAATTTTCTATTCTCATTTGAAGCGTCAGGTACTTTTAAATAATTTTTAAAAAATGTATGTTAGCTCTAGAACCAAAGAATCATCATTTTTCTAATAAAAAAAAAAGAATTATATTTTCTAATAAAATAATTTTGTACAAATATGCAGTTACACATGATAGAAAAGTTTACTTATTAGAATATCTATCTATATGTTATTAAATTTAATAAACTAATGCTCATATAAGATTTCAGCGTAATTTCTTTTCAGTTAAGATTTCATAAAAATTTGATTTTCTTGTTTGCGTGCTTGATTTCTTTGAACTGGTTGATTAGAATTTCAAGAAAATTTGGAGCATTGTGTAAACTCAATATCTGAATAAAATAAACAACTATTGTATTTCTGATGTAAGATTTAGAGCTATAATCAAATTTGAAATGGTGTGGAAATTTCAGGTCTTCATTTTTCATCGTCTCAAATATATTATATATAGTATATATATATACAATATTTTTTAAATATATAGCTATGCATTCTTACAAATTTAACTAATAAATTTATTTTTTATTATTCTTTGTTAATATTTAGAAAATAATTTGCATTTTTAGGATTTGAAGGCAATTATATCTTTAAGTTTTTTCGAAACTATAATTTTCCTGCTTGCACGCAAGATTTCTACGAAACGTTTGTTCAGAATTTCAAGACCAATTTTAAGCCTATGTGGATACTCATCAAGTATTAAGATTCTCATCTAAAAGTTTAGAAACTACGCATCATTTTATGAAAAGAAAATAATTTTACTCTCTCGAATCAAAAGATATTATGTTTTAAGAAAATGTTATTTGATTATTTTTAAGTGAATCATTTTAAATTACATATTATTTTTCTAATATGAAAAAATTATTAGCTAAAAATAAGGATGTGTCCATCTATAATGTTGCACGTAGTGCGTGTTATAATTTTTTGTTGATGAAGGCATTTAACTTTTACTGTATTCAAAATATTTTAATGGCTTGAACATAACATAAAGGTAGCAAAGTTAAAAATCTCGAAATATGTATATACAAAGTTTCTCGATTATAATCCATTTAGTTATGAAGCTATTGAACTTTAAAGTATGTTAAAAGTTATGGCATACTTTGACATTTTTAAGGTACCTGATCTCTTAAACAAATAAGACTTCCTGTCTAGCTCACTTTCTTTTCATTCTTTAGTTAATTACGAATAATTTAACTTTGCCATATCTTATTGCTCGTCAGAGAGTTTCGAATATATAATTTCTGCACTGACATATGTGGGCTTAACTCCATTAGCGATCGCGCCGAGGAATAGGACTCTAGATTTGGGAGGGTGCTTAAAAAATATCAGAAATGATACGATATGCCTTGAAAGCAGACTGACATTTTGTCCCAGTTTGTGTTCATAAGGTCATGAGTGTAAGTTATAGCCAAGGAAGAAAAGCCATATCTAAGACCAATATTTAGAAAAACGGAACGTCCAAATTTTTTTAAAAACTTTTGTACGAATGCCTAAGACAGTGTAAATAGCAAGCAATTTCAACCTCTTATTGATTACAAAATATTGTTTTGTGCTATTGTCTTCTTAAAATCTACTTTTTTATTTTATTTCTAGAGGCAACAGACAGCTCTTCATTTGGCAGCAGAATTGGGTTATACGGAAGTCGTCGAAGTGCTCTTATCTTGTGGAGCTGATCTCTCTGTGCCTGAAAAGGTAACCATATATCATACATATCTGATATCCGCAATGTCTCTGATCTCTTCCGTGGAAAACATTTTCTGTATTTTCCCTCAAGCGATGAGTTCCTGTTTCGTCTAACTGCTGAAATATCGAGCTAGTGACTGAAAGTTCTGCAATTCAATTTCAGATAGTAAATTTCACGTTTCTAATGTCTGACGATATTTGTTTCGACAAATGGCACCATGTCATCAACATTTCATACATCATCTCTACAAATCTTGACATAATCAGTAACTACGTATTCTGTAAAATACGGTCACGTTTTTAGATCTAACCTTTTCTTGGCATACTTCTGTCTTCACATATGCATGTCTAATGTGTGTATGGATTGTTTTTCTGATAATGTATCCTCATAACTCGTACGTAAGTTCTGTTATTGAGCCAGTAACAATAGCTAAACTTTATTCCACAGAGTGGTCGTAAAGCATTATACATTGCAGCAAGAGGAAGCTATACAGCCATTGTCGATATGCTCATTAAAGTAGAGAGGGAGCAAACCAAAAAGGTAAGATACATTAACCATTATAAATATAAAACAAGGTTTTTTAAATCTTTGTTTTTGATTGTTAATCACTGTAGAAGACGGTGTGCATCGAAATCATAGCGGCAAAAACATCGCGGAGGCAAACTTTGCGGAGAAAACAACGCGAGGCCCAAACGTCATGGTACAAAACATCGTGGGAGAAAAGAAAACAAAGAGAAACATCGTTTCACAAAAAAAAAAAAAAAATCGTCGTCGAAAATAGAGCGGTTCGAAAACTTAGCAGTTTAAAACCATCGTAGTGGAAAATATCGTGGTAAAAAATAAAATAGCTGCAAATGATCGCAGGAAGATAGCTTTAAATTTTGCAGGCTTTAAAAGTTGTGAATGCATATTCGCATAATGATTTGTGAGCGCAAGAAGAAATGAGAAATATTTTTACTTCTACATTTCATATTTTTGAATTAACTAATAAATTTTTGCTGAAAACGTAAGATGAAAACTCAAGCAATCAAAAGATGAAAATGAGTTAAAAATGAATGCAACTTACAGCACTTACATAATTTTAAACTTGCCTAATGTATTATAAGTAATAAAGATCATTAATAAATTAAACATTTATAAAGTATTACTGGTAATTTTGGGTGAAAATATAGTTTAAAAAAGAATACAGAAAGGAAGATTAGTGACTGCATGAGATAATCGCATGTCTGCGACGATTTGTCAGTACGTACTTTATTTTTTACCACGATATTTTCGACGACGATGCTTTATTGGCTGCGAAATTTTTGAACCGCTTTATTTTCTGCGACGTGATTTCTTTTCTTCCGCGACCATAATGCTTTCGCCTTGTGTTGTTTTCTCCTCGACGTTTTTGGCTGCAACCGTTAGGAAACAGAATTAAATCAAGGACAGAAATTATCTCTGTGTTTTCATACCTTTCGACGGATATAAAACAATTTGAAATGTCGTTCTTGTTGAAATTTATCTGTCTCAAATAAATTTAATTTATTCTGCTTTATTTCGTAAATGAATACTTTGGAAGCTATCCGATTATGCGGTATTGATTCTTCTGTATGCTGCTGAAATATCAACTTTTCAATCAATTTACTTTACCAGTAAAAAGACATTAGAAATATATACATGACGAGAAGCATCTCTCAATAATCGAATTTGGAACGATATGCGAATCAAACTATGAGCTATTTCATCATCAGCCCATTCTAATAATATACAGAAATATTGTTGAAAACATATTCTCCCTCGCTATTTTTAAATAATGGTTATTTTGACTTATATCTAAAAGTCTGTATTTAGTTTAAGATTAATTACTAAATTGGCACACTCTCAGAAAAATTCTTTATATAATTCACAAACAAAAAATTTCGAAATACTATTTTACATTTGTTCAACCAAGGTAAAATATTAATTAATTGAGTTTTTTTTTTTTTTTTTTTAATAGTTTGCTTAGGAAAGAGGAAAACTTGTAAATCGGGATTAAGCTGTATGTAGAAAGAATTAATACCTTAATAAAAGTTGCACATCTCTGAAGATTTTGATTTGTTTAAGAAATGATTTAATACTATTAATTTAATAATTCTCATACTAATTTAATCTAAATATGAGAATAACAAATGCATCTTAAATCAATAATACTTTCTAAGGTCTATGTTGTAACTGGAAACTAAAGTCCTTAAAATTATTCTAGACTAACACTAAGTTGTTGCTACGTCTTAAATAACTCATAAAATAGTGAACAAATTTTTAAAAAAATATCTGAAACTAAAGATTTTATATTACGTCGTTTCTTTAACCTTTTGTATTACCTTTATTTATTAAATTATCTTTGCACTTAAAACATAAAATTCAATTCAGCAGCAATATCGGAAAATAATTTTAAAATAGGCATATCTTTAGAATTCCCGATACACAGTCTCACGCGCTGGAGATAAAATTTTTTTTTCGTACAGTGTTGCCATTGCTCGCTTTGAAATCGTTGAGTTTGTTAATCAAAAATTCGTTAAAATTTTTACAAAACATGAAATAGCTAATAAAACAAATTCCAATTTTGGGCTTCCAGATGCCCATATTCGGGTGGAAACGTACGTTATTCAAAATTTGATGGCTCTAGGTACCGTCGTTTTTTATCACAATGCCAGAAACATACATCCATTTATGCAGATTCTTCATAAAATATTTTTAATTTCTTTAAATATGTATAATACAGTGCTGTTATATTTGGTGGCAATCGTTTGAAAAGGGAACCGACATTTAAAGGTTTCAACGCAAAATGCCAAAACGGAATTAATAGTCCTTCTGGACTAATTCCAGGTAGGATGTCTACGTCAATCCAATCTACAGATAATCTGACAGCATTTAAAGATAGCACAGAAAACAGGAATAACTCACATTATAATTAACAGAAAATATTATTGAACTGTACATTTTTACAAAGTCCATGACCTGTTACATTTTTTTAAGCAGTTCAGGCTGGAGAATAATTTAATTTAATTATGCATATCAAATCAGTATTCAGAATAAGGTGAACACATTTCAAAACAAAAAGAACAATATTTTTGTTTATATTGCTCTTGTAGATCTACTTAATTTATTTTCACGAGCTGGCAACTTACATTATGGATGAGTTTGTTATGCCATTTTGTATTTTTCAGATTAGAAATTTTGCTTTACTCTTTTGGTTTATGTTAGCAATTTTTCCATCGTTTTTTAGACATGGCCTGGCTAATCAAGAGTTGACTGTTCTTTTTTAGCTCAATTTGTTATTTGAGAGAAAATTCCCAATAAGTGTTTAATTTTTATTCAAGTATAAATTTGAAACTGAATAGCATTTAATATTTTTCTATCTGCATGCACAACCTCAATTTTGTGTGGCATTTTTGCAGCGTAAAATAAATTAAGCATATTCATATATTTCAATTCATGGTGTTTGCCTCTGTAAAGAATTAATAATTTCAGTACGTCTTCAAGATATTGTTATCTTTCTACAGATATTTCTTTACTTCCTCTCCGGATAATTAAACGATGAAGTCGGAAGTTTCGGAAGTTGAATTAAATTAAAAAACTCCTTTCAGGAAGTAAGAAAAGGACATGCGCACTTTCTTTGGCTTATAATCACATTACACGACCGCATGCAAAACTAAATGAATCGGGATTTTCACTAAAACAAACACGCCATGACGAAGCTACTGTTTCCATTAGGATACTTCTAACTAATATCTCTTGCTCTTATTCCTTTTTCCAATTTGAATATCAGCTTTCAGTTATAAGTTCTTAAAAAATTTTAATGGAAGAGCATAAAGAAAAGGAAAATCATACAAAAGTGGAATCTAGAAGTGACGTAAGGCTTAGATTCTCTGTCCATTGCTTGAAAAATTAAATGGTTGTTCTATTTAAATCTCTAAAAATGCTTGCTTCTGTATCTTCTAAATTTTCTATACCCTTCCGCAAACTTTTATAGAAAATTATATGATTAATATTTAATATATTAACTGATATTTTAATTTTGGAAGGTTTTCGATATTTTGAGCATTCAGACATAATTTTTAGAGGATTTCCGTAGAATAATGGTTTTCTGCTGCTTTAGTATTAAAAATATTCGCTTTTTTAATTCGAAAAGCTGTTTTCTTTATATAATGGAATTTCACGAACAATCTTAATAAAACGATAATAATTTATTTCAGCTGCATTAATGTATTCTATATTAATTACTTATCCTATACTTCTTTTATTTTCAAATTAGATTCACTTCAAATTTAGGCAACTTCTTTTTATTGTAAATTTAACATCATATCTATTAATAAGTTTAACGATTCGAATTAAAATTTTGAATTTTTTGACAGGCATCTTAAATATAAGTATACTGAAATTTATGTGTGTATAATAACAAAATATATATGTTGTTTGTAATAGAAACACAAACTACACATTTCCTTATCAGGGTGTGTTTTAAGACGAAAAAGAATATTCTAAATTTAATTCATCTATTTAGAAACTATTTTTAGCTTTTATTGAAATTAGCAATCATATTACATTAATCTAATTTCCTGTTTTGATGTTTGTTTAAGATTTTCCATTTTCGAATTTTATTTTCACCTAAACATGAAGCTGGCTATACCAGGAGTTAATGATTCTTTACTTCTTTGTATGAAGTAAGGGAAGTTACTGTAATCGGGAAAAAATTCGGGTGTTATATTTCAAAGGAAATATCCATTTTGACCCTTTTCGGATCCATTTGGACGACATTCTTGCGTGACATCTGTACGTACGGAGAGAATAAAGGTCTCTTGTATGTATCTCGTGTACCTCAAAAGCGATTAGATGTAACAACGTTGAAATTGTGTGCGTGGACTTCCCTTTTTTATCCCACCAGTAGTTCCCAAACGTATATACGCCCGCTTAAAGTAATTACCCGGCTTTCATTTTCTCAATCACTGATCGATCGCAGTCATACACTTCCAATAATGACGAAAATATTCATGTTATGGCAATGTCATATTTAAAAAAGACAAATCTAACTTTTCACAATTCCTGTACTTACATTTTAAAAAGTTTTCTACTCGTTACGAAACAAATAAAATTTCGCTAGTTTAACTCCCATACAAGAAAAAATGACCGGAATATTTAATTTCAAAATCTCCTCTTTTTGATGTCATTTTCAACTTTTCGAGGGACTAAACTGAGAAATAATAATATTAATATAATAATTTGAGAAAATAAGATTAAATGAAGTGCAGTCAAATATGTTATAATTTAATATGCCGTTATTTGAAGCCATGCGATGTCCACAGCAGATTATTTTTTCTAATCATTCTTGAGACTAGTTTGTGTAACCAGCGCCGGTACTCGGAATAAGCAGACAACAGATCTGTATGTGGCGATCGGGATTTTGATGGAAATTTTTACTGATTTACTTTTAATCTAAGTTGAAAGATTTTAATGCTGTTGAAATAGAAAAGTATGCTAGAAACTACCTGCCTCAGTTTAATAAAATTTTTGTATTGTGGGAAAAATTTTTACGACGTTTTCAAATTATCTGGTTGAAACAGGTCTTCCATTAATTCTTTTTAAAAGAATGAAATATTAAATTTTTTAATATAATTTATCAATTTCTCATGCTTTTGAGAATTAGATCCCTTTTAACCATAAGAGATTGAGAAAGTAGTCTTAATATAACGCGAAACAAATTAATAAAGTAATACAATTCTCGTTCGAATAAAAGTAGATTTAATAGAATTTTTGTTTCAATTTCTTTAGTACTTCAAAAATGGTGCTGAAAGATAAATCAGTGTAATCAACTATAAAAGCAAAATGTTTAACTTTATTTCTGAAACTCTGCGTATTTAAAACATAAAATAGGAATTTGACAAGATTTTGTGTCGTTTTTGAAGGTATTAAACCGCGGAGAATCGTAAGATTTTAAATCACTGAGTTACTTTTAAAACCTAATATGCTAAACTTATTGAGTTCTGTTCTGTCTTTCTGTATTTAGTTAAAAATGTAGTTAATTCACGTGTTTTATTTGCTGAGAACTTAATAGTTAGGAAGAATTTAGAGACGGAAGTAACTTTTTCATTTCTTAAATATGCAATCAGATACAAATTAGCTAATTTACATGTATACAAAATTATTCTGAGTTAAAATGAATTAAGTTGAAGCATCTAGCCTACTTGTAATCAGAACATTAATTAATAACTAATATAAATATTAAGAGTCTCCTAACACTAACTAAAGTTAAACTTAATTGACACTTTCTGTATAACACAAAATAGTCTTTCGATGTATGTTGAGGTGACACAATACAACTTAACTGACGTTCCCAGTGTTAGTCGAAGGCTTGATAGCACGCCTAGATAATTTGAAATAGATATACTTTCCCAAAATACAACCAAAAAATAATTGTGTACGCGAAAGAAAGTTTTTTTAATTATTTTGATGATAAAAATGTTATCTAAAATGGTCTTTAGTATCTAGTAAGTAATACATATTTACCAAAAAACTTGGATTTTAATCTTAAATTTCTGAAACCTCTTTGCTTTTCAAGCCTGCTTGGTAATATCTCTTTGCAATATCTCTTTGGAGCTGTTATTCTGTCACGTTTCCTATTTATTATTAATTTTCCTTATATTATTTTGAACCTCTAATTAAGCATTCCAAAGCATTATTCTGTGTTTTCACCTCTAAACAAGTGCAATTATTCAGAATTTTTCCTCAAAGAGGATTTCGCAAGACCCAGGAAAGCGAAGGAAGAAAAAGGTAATGCAATATTTAAATGCCATTTAAAGCACTAAATACAATGTAGCAATTTAATAACCTTAACAGCATGATGTTAACAATTAAAAAAAGACTGTTTGTTAATATAAATATTAACGTTTAGTATATTCTGTATTATAAAATTTGTATTTAATTTGGTTTTTTTTCATTCCAAAAACAAGTAATAGGTAATAAGCATGTGGTAATCAAATGTAAATAAGAAATTAAAAAACAAATAAATTTTATGTTCATTTGCCTAATTTTAAAATTATAATCTGTCCTGGACAATGCGTAACCAAATATACAGCGAAACTGAATATTGCATATTTCATAACCAAAAAGAAAAACAAAAATGCTTAGTTGTAAATTAATATTTCAAACTTACATCTGTATTACATGTAAGTAGTCGAAACGATAAGAGGACTGAACATCCTTATAGTTCCTTCTTAATTCGATTCTTGGTGAAAAAATTGGCTGCAAAACGGTTTCATGGTTTTTCCAGTATATGAAGTGAATGAAAGCCAATTTCCCGTAGAATATCCTCTACGAAAGCGTCTCTTTACGTAACTATTTAACCCTTCCCTGCTTTGCGAGGATCAATTAACTAGCAAATCATTATATGGATAGTCTTGCAGACCCAGATTAGCGTGATGGTCTAGATTGTGTAGTGAAATAATAGTAATCAAATTGCAGAAATTTATCTTTGTTAAAATATATTTCTATATTCTATATATTTCTATATTCTATAATATATATTTCTATATTCTATATATAACACCTTTGACAGCCTATTTTGGATAACAGTCCTGAAGAACCGGAACAACTTGACAGTCCAGATTGCATTAGACAAAAGGAACAGCAAGCTGAAGCGCAGCAGAAGTGTATGCGAGAGTTGCTTTGGACATTAGCCAAAAATTATCTCGAACCCCATGACTGGAAGAAACTGGCTAGGTACTGGGGCTTTACAGAAGAACATATAAAAGCCATAGAACACCAGTACACGGGTAAGAAATCCTCGAATGAAATATGTTTTTATTTCATAGTCGTTTTCGATAAATTCAGATTTTTCTATAACCTGCTATAAAATCATATGGTGTCAAGAATGGATTGGTACAGTATGCATATTGGTATAATCAGGCTAAAATAAACTTAGTATATATTGTTTAATTAATTTTAAATTAATCAAATAGTGACTGTAATTTCTTTAATTGTACTTGAATATAACGTGACCCTTTTTGTAATAATAACTTATTCTTTTTTACTTTTTAAGCGTTTTAAAAAACAACGAACTGAGCGAAGTAGTTCTGTAACATTTATAAAAGAGGATTTGTTTGAAAAATTAAACTCACGTTTCATTCAAAGTTGTTTTTAAAAGTACATTTTGTAACCAAATTAACGTATGTATTAATTACAATAAAATTTAACTTCGAATGATCTAATTAATTATTTAGATTTTAATCTTCACCCTATAATATTTCCGCCATCGCTGGATTTTGCTTCTACAGAGTGCAAAATTTTAACTTTTTAATATGATTACACTGCGAATACAATGCATAGTTTTAAATGCTATTCTTTAGTTTTGAGTTAAAATATCTCTATATTTTTTCTAATTATTTACATCAGCAACATTTAATAAAACAAGCGACGTACTATTGGCTTTGCCTACTTCTCTATTAAAATCTGAGCTCACATATAGTAGACATGTCAGAGACTTTTTCTTCTTTTTTTTTTTTTTTTTTTTTTTTAACTATTCCTTTGGTTATTGGCTATTTTTAATAGCCTCAGGATGCTGAATAATTAGCAATAATGTTAAGAGTTAACAGGAAATTTAATTCATAAACTTTTATATTAATATGATTGGTGGGTCATATCTAGACTCTAACAATACAAAAGGAAACGACATATTTTTTTACGCAAAAAGTAAAAACATTAGGAAAACTATTTACGATATTCATTTTTAAAATACAGAAAATGATTCTCTGAATTTTGATTCCAGTAATTAATATACATATTTTATATACACGTGGAAATCATTTTACACTTTTAAGTATCGCAATATTAGTCAGAGAAATAGCGTTTTCAAATGAATTTGAATAAATTGTTATCTATAACTAAAAATAACTGTAAATATAACTTCTTTCATTTTTCAGGAAAATCGAGCTACAAAGAACATGGTTACCGGATGCTGCTCATTTGGCTGCAAGGAGTCCCTTCCAGCAAGCATCCACTCAAAGAGCTTTTTGAAGCCCTCACTGCCATAAACAAGAGGGATGTTGCAGGTAACTTTCACATTTTCTCTCGTAATCAAAATTTAAAGTGTTGTTAATGATGAGAACAAATTTGATAGTTTATTGTGGAAAGAGTAAAGCAGGCGGAATAATTATATTCATTCAGCTCTGTAGCAAAATACATAGATTTTTACACTATACCAAGATGATGTTAAAGATATACAGCCAGTGAAGCTGACATTCTGAAGGAAAAAATACATATTTATTGAACTGGCCATAGAGATTACTCGGAATAAGTATATGCAATTTTTTTCTTATTGGACAACATCAGAGATCTTATTTATGTTCTGCTTTTGCCATACGACTGTCAGAAACCAAATAAAAACAAAAAGGTAAAAATAGGTTACGATGGAAGTTGGCCTTCACTCGAGATATGAGTCATACGTACAAGTCATTAGTACAAGGTGTATATATTTGCGCGTGCGCCCGCAATATTAGCAGCCAGAGATTGGCAAACCTAATGTACTTTCTATTATTATACTAGCAAAGACAATGTATCGTCAACAGAGATGTGTGGATATTGTGTGGATGTTTATAAAACATAGATAAGTTATATAATAAAATCTGATACATGAAATGATGCAAAAATGGTACAAAAATAAGACTTAAGTTATTCTGATTTTCGATATAAACGCATGAAAGGAAATAATAAATTTGTTGGAATAGGAAAATATGGTGGTGATAATAATAGAACTAATGGCAACATAACCTGAGAAATGTTATAATGTACAAAATGCAGAGTATAGCCAAATCTGTTAAAATCTAGGACCAGTTTTATAAAACATATAAAAGGTTATTTCAATGGCAAATAATGCATAATACGCAGATGAATAAAACATAGAAGATAATCTAATGAATTATATTAAAATCACATTAATGTCTCTTAATTTTGAAAAAATATTAAAAATACACTTTTTCCCGATTAAATGCTCAAGAGCTACATGAAGTTGATTGAAATACTTCGGACAAAATTTGTTAAAATAAGTGCATCCTGTTGAAATATGACTCAAAGATAACATTGCAATTTAGGAAGATAGGCTCAACCTCGGCTTTCAAAAAGTAATTACGAATAATTTAAAAGTGACCAGTTCTGAGTTAGGATCCTTATGGTTTCTAACAGCCTCCCAATACTCCACTCTAAGCTGTGTGCGCCTTACTTTATCATGAAGCCGGACGTTCTACAGTAACTAGCTGCCATTTATTCCACTTAGAAATTCTATTTTTATCTGCGACAGAGACAAACCGACTGGACAATTAAACAGTACATCTTGTTAAGATGTGTATCAGCTTATTACTTTTTATCCTCACATATTCAAAAAATTATAGCCATGACTCCTTAAATTTTAATTTAGCCCTAGAACTTCTACAACAACAACAATTTATCGGAAAATGTTTGGAAATCTTTTAGAGCACTAAAGGAGTGAGAATAAAAGTATAAAATTTCTCTTGCATAATTAGATGTGAATACAAGGGCGTAATATATAGCAATTAATTCGGAAGTGAGTACTGACGACGCGCCATGCATCTTCTTTCCTCCATATGATTTTCAATTAAAAAAATTATATTCCAGTATTACTGATTGCTTTAGACCCATCAATGTATATGAGATTGTAACTTCTGTACCTATTATTATACCCTAGAAACATCTGCTGATATGTAATCTTGTTAGTATTTCTTTTATTAAGATAGCAGAAAGCATCAGTAAGTCGAATTTGAGTATCCTTCCATGATGAGATTTCAAAATACTTTGCTGTTTGGATATCTATATCAGACATGCAATTCCATAATCAGTGAATGAATCCTTAAAGAGAAAGAAGGCATATATGATGGACATTCTTCAAACAAAAGTCACACATATCATCATGCAAAAATACCTTATTAGCATGTCCAAGTTGCGATAATGCTATATTGAAATGATGCAAAAAAGAAAACTGCTCACGTCTCAACTGAAGTGATGGTTCGTATGAATACAGACTCAGCATTGGAGATGTTCTGACGGCTTACAAAGCCTAGGAATCTGATGACGAATAAGGTCTAGTTTCAATAAAACCATGCTGACTATAAATAACTCCGCCCAGGAGGTGTTCGAGATTACTTTTTAAAAAATTTCTTATTCTGAAACACTTCTTCCTCAAGTATAGGGATGCGGAAGGAAAGTCAACTTTTGGTTAAGCATCATCCCTAAAAACTTTACTTCAAAAACAAATGAAATTGCTGATCCACGAAGATGCAGCTAAGGATCAGGATGGAGTCTTACCTTCTCCCAAATGTCTTCTGTTTCTAAAATTGCTTATTTCGCCATTTCTGGAACCAGTTAAGAGTGATCTACAATTGCCTCTCCGCAAATCTTATATCTGCACCATGATAGTTTATTTGGAAGCTATAAGGTATTTCTCCCACTTTCCTGCGTGCCTTCGTGGTGTAGTGGTTCTGCACGCTGGACCGGTATTCCAGAAGTCCATGGTTCGATTCCCGGCAAAGGCAGTTGCTAATTTTTCATCTTGCCTGCCTCCAAAAAATACCTAATGTCTCTCCAAAGCAGTCAATGTATAATGATTCTGAAACTCTAAAAGGAAATTCCTTTAATACAAAATTTATTTTTGAACCGAACTGACTAACCGTAGAACACAGCTGTAGCTCTGATTGCTGCGATAAGAAACAGCTTCAAAGGTTTCTCCAATAATGATAATAATCAATCCAATAATAATCAGAGTTTCTTCTGTGACGCTAATCACTCCGTTGTTTATTTTATTTATTTAATTTTTCAAAACAGAAAAAGAGTGGTCATTTTATATTCCTTATACTTTTCCAACTCTTTTACTTGGCGTAAAGAATGCTATCCACAAGTTTCTCTGGCTTTACTGTCCTATTTTCTTTGCATTTCCTCTCGAGTTTATGAAGACTATTTTCGGTTTCGTAAAGTAGAGTACCTACGAAAAGCTCCCAAAGCCTTTCTTTCTTGGCTGATCGTTTTGGGCATTCACGATTCCACCGCACAAAGGAAATTTAGCTGCTTCAGTTATTGCTTTCAGCACATCATCGACAGGCACGTCATTCACCATTTATTCAATGAGCTCTGAGAGAGATGAGAAGAGTTCCCTATCTGCCCTATGAAGAATAAAAATAGAAAGTTTTGACAGAGGATTCACTCTGTCTCGCGAGAGACCCAAAGCAATGGAGAAATTATCACCATTTTAAAGACAAATTCCAGTGTTAAATGTACGTAAGGGCAAAATGGTGAACAGATCTCACATCAGCAGCATGAAATGTCCTTGTACGCTTATGAAATCAGGCACCCCAACCGTAATTGAGAAAGCAAAGGTTCGATTATTTGCTCCATTTGCCTGCCTCGAGGATTTGCATAGATGGTTCCACAGAGCAAATTATGTCCGATAAGGGCCCTGTCAAAATAAAAGGTTCGGCAGCTGCCCTATAGGGTTGCCTAAATCTCGTTGGTAGATGTGTTCATTTGGGCACAAATAAACAGGACAAACTCAATCCCAAAAATAGACGCAATTCCGCTTCTGTACCGACAGCTTGGAGGCATCTTGTGAAACGAAGTGCATTTGTCGGATAGAGAAGTTAAGTAAGAATAGAAAACGTGTCTTCAATATGGAGTACAGTTACCTCGAACAACCATACAGAAACTTTTTATGTTACTAACAGTGTTATCTGCGAGATCATTATATAACGATTGGTGCTCTGACCCCTGTTGTTCTTGTAATGCCTTTCAAGCGCAGCAATATTTTGAGAAAATGATTGAGAGCTGCAAGATGTCTCTTTAAGATATCGCAAGTGTTTTCAATAGGATCTATAATTTTTCTCAAGCCATACCCAGTAATTATATTACCCGAGGATTTTCATTTCGGTGTAGTAATACCCTAAAATGCATTATATCTCTTCTCTTGATGCTCAAAACAGACAAACAAAATAAATAATCGTCATCTAAAATAATTTTCAGAAGCTTAAAATAATTACAACATGATCAAATAATTTTTAATTCATTGTAATTTTCAAGAGGTACAGGTTTTATGTTTTTTAATCATTTTGCTGAATTATGCAGCAGATAATTTTCAGGACAAAAGCTCTTTTCATTACAGCCAATAAAAAATAATAATAATAATTCATACATCATGTTTATATCTTACCTTTGTAACGGCATTTTAAATATTATGATACTTATATCAAATACTCTAATAAAAAAAGTATTTCAAACGTGTAAAACCAAATTTGTAACCTAACTTCCTATGTTTACTGGGTAAAGGGTTGAACTCTTCTACTGTTGACGAATTATCACTTCACATAAATAGAAAAGAAAAAGATAAAACTAAACTGAAATACTTATTAAGATACATGATTTGTATAGTTAATGAGCTAAATTGTAACTTGAATGCTTTGCTGGAGCTCGCAGAAGCTAAATAAGACACGCCGAAGCTCAAAAGTTTTAAATAACTCGGAACTTCATCAAAAAGGACTGGGTGCCTTTGAAATTGGTGAATTTAGCCTTCAAAATTTCATCAAAGAAAACTAAAGTGAAGCTCTTTAATCATGACTTCCAGTTAACTAATCTTACAACTGTGATACCAGATTGTTTGGCTGAATACTAATAACTAGCCAGCTATTCTCAGAACGTTTTCGAAGGAGCATTGGTAAATAAAAGCAGTCGTAGCTCGCTGTACAATTATTACACTTTTTACACTTGCAAGTGACATTATAAATATTCCTTGATTGCTGATCAAGGTTGCATTGTAAAGGGGACAGAAACATCAAGCAATAAACAAATTGGGGAATCAAACTAAAATCTTATGAATGTGTGACGAGGTAGATGATTTTCTCATTTGATTAAAACTCTTATATTAAAGCAAAAGAAAGCTGTAAACAAAATTTTATTTCTTCTTGTTTACTTTTAGAGAAGATTCGTCGGAAGGCTGAAGAACAACCCCAACAGCGTCGCAGCTGTCGTGCCAACCGGTTCTGTGCCTTCTGCATTCTTATGTGACACCGGACCAACAACTCTGCGTCTTCTGTGCCTTACAAGGACTCCTCGTTGGTGCTTTGCATCTTCAATTCCTTTCTGAATTGTGAGGGCTACCAATCGGTTTCTCTTTACGAGTGACCGGTTCGCTGTTATTCCTTTTTTCCTCTTTTCAGTGTGGTCATATGTACAATTATATTTGCTTCATATGTACAATTTCATGGAAAGAATGCAAAATTACACTGGTTTTGCAACTCAGTATGTATTGTGATGTATCTTTTGTATAACGAGTTTTGAAGGTGGATGTAATTATTCCAAGCTATTTGTATTCTACTATGATATATAACCATGAGAAAATGAAGCTTGGACTTCATTTATATGCAAATAAGATGAGATTTCATACCATACAATTTGTTGATATTCGTAATAATTCTAAATAGGTGATATTTGCTATTAAATTCATATTAGAGATAAAATCTTGGGATTTTGAAAGGCAATCGTCTGTTAAAATTCATCAATTCTGAGACGCAGCGAAATCATTCTCTCAGTTCGCTTGAATTATCCTGCAAAAATCTCTTTATGCACGGAAGTTCTCTTGAACTAGTTTGCAGAAACCTTACTAAATCAGAAGTCAAACAACAAAAATCAGCGTTATATTTTCAAAATTTTCGCAGCGAAATTTTGCGATACTGCGAAAATTTTGAAAATATAACGCAGATTTTTGTTGTTTGACTTCTGATTTAGTATTTATTCTGCGTGTTATTGTGTCTTAATTGCAGAAACCTTGCTTTCTGATGAATTTTTCTAGAAGCACTTTGAAGAAATGTGTAGAAATGAAACTGAATTGATGAAAAAATTATTTAAAAATGACTAATGATAAATACACTAGTAAGTAAAGAAAGACTAAACATATTTATCTTAAAAATACTGAGTATCAAAATAAAATAAAATCTGGAATCATAAACAGAATACCCGTTTTCTCTCTGTTCAGACGCCCTCCCCTTAACTAATATTTAAATTAGAGTTTTAAAATTTAAAGCAGGCGTCATATAAAGCTCGAATATTTTTCATTTAAGTTAGTTATTCTTGTTACAATGCATTTCTGATTTTATTTTATAAAAAATCAGAAATATATCGAAACATAAATTTATCATTATTTTCTCTTTTTAATCAGCTGAATATGATTTTTAAGACCATATTCTCGCAACTTAATGGAATGCATAGTTACCATACTTAATCATCTTTACAAATGAAGCTTGAGAACTATCAACATCTTCCAATAAAATCTTAGAAAACATTTAGTATTATTGAGTATAAATAGTTTTTAATTAGATTAATATTTAAACATTTTGAGTTATTCTTACTGCATAAATATTTACATTCATTTCGAGCTACACTAGTGATCTATCTGATTGCTAAATATTTCGAAAAGAAATTGCTATTTTCGAATATTATCAGATTTATAATATTAGTTCTTTTTTTCATGCCGCATCGCGCGAATTCTATGTTTTAGGAATATAACCGTATTATAGCGATTATTTCCATTATCTAAGCTTTCGGAAATTCTTCGAGACGCAGAAATAAATGGTATATTGCATTATCTTCATTTTTTAATTCGACAGTAGATGGCGACACCCAACATACAATTTTAGGCGTAAGCATGCAAAACAACAGTTGCCATGGCAATCTTTCAGTTATTAATCTATAAATTTCATAAATTTATTAATCTGTGGCCTTTACCATAATTATGAATTATGTTAAGATCCAAAGCCTGTGTTTCTAGCATCAGTTAGCAGTTATCGCTGGAAAGAGTGATTCTCAGATTTCATGAAGACCATTTCTCCAGACTTCTATAGTATGTTAATTCATTGTTTGTTTAGTACAATTGGAAGCATAATCTAATATAAACTGCAGGCAACCAGTTTGTATACATCATTTAATGGATTCTTATTCGCAGATTAATATGTCTATTCAACAACGTGCGTTTTTGTATTATTTTATGATTTCTAATTAAATTTTTAATTTTCCTTAAAAGATCTATTATTTTAAGATTTCAAATTAAATGCTTAATTTTGTTTATTACTATTAGTATTTTTAGTTTGTCCTAAAGCATTGAATACTTTATTTAATATTTAAATCTTCTCAGAAATATTATATTCTTATTTATATATACAGAACTAAATTACGGTGATAAAAATGCCCTCTTCATACCTTAATATTGTTTTCTAAGAGAAGAATGGCAAACTTATTTATTTATGAACTTTTATTACAGTAAGAGGTAAAATACTAGTTTTGGGAACATTTACTCATATACTATTATCTCACATTAAAGAACATTCTTCTCATAACATAGACTTGAGTTGATTTTTGTGCTTTCTGTAGTTAAACTATCGTATACAAATTAATAACAAATAAAACAGAACATTTATTTTTTCCCATAATGAAGCTTAAGCGATTTTTGGTACTGTTTATCAGGACCGGATTAAAAAGTGTATGAATGCATGCAAGTATGCATGTGTATATGAATATACGCATACATTCATACTTGCATATATACATGTATTACATGAACACATACATCCATGCATACATTTCTAAATCCGGTCCTGATAACCTAATGGTACCCGATTTTTGCAACACTTTATGGCTTTGTTTATAATCCAAGGATTGCTCAAGAATCATAGAACTGTCTTTACGATTTGCGTTATCAGTTTTTGTTCATTTGTGATAGTAAAAATTGAAACTGATATTAAGAACAGCTTTAAATTTCTCAAATAAACTGAACGGAAAAAATATCTAAATTTATTTGGAAATTAATTTTTAACAAAGTCATTGTAATATTGGGGGAAAAAAATGTTTTTTTAATATCAAAAATAGACCATATTTTATAAATCGAGCAATCATCTACATTTTTAGCTTTTGAAATATTTTTAAATATGAGGTCAATTTCAAACATACTATATGATACAATTTTTACGATACATCAAAACAGCTTAAGTAATTCCAGGCATTTTACTGACTTAAAATATAAGCAGCACTTTAAAATTGTTAAGAAAGAATAAATTGTTGATATGCACAACTAGCAATAGCTATTGCAGGAAATTTGCAAAAGTTGTAGAATGCAAATTATTTTGCTGTATTTACGGGTATTCTATTTATCATTAGTTGCTATATTTTAAATTTTGTTTTAACATCGAAAATATATTAATATTATAGATTTAATGAATCCTAATTCTCGAATCACAATCGCAAAATCTTTTCCCAAATCTCTCGAATTCTTCATGTAATAAAAATATAAGAAAAAAAGGTGTTCATTAAAAATTATTAATTAAAATAAAATTTTAAATCTGCATTTAATAAAAAAACACAAATTTAGTTTCTAAAAATGAAACTACTTTTATTAGGACAATAGAAATGAAATTTAGTAAATGATGTATATAACTGAAACTCTTGAAACATAATTGAAATCAAATTAAAAATTAAAAGAAAGGCTGAATAACAACTTTGAATTTTTGGTTTCTCAAAACCTTTTTAAATCCAAACAACCATAAAGGGGAAAGGATTGTTTCAATAGTTGATGTAGATTAACACTATTATTATTATTATTATTACCTTATATTAATGCTTCTGTTCAATGGCAAAAAAAAATCTTTAAAAGTATAGAATTAAAATACCTAAGGGTTAAATTTAGGATTCAGAAGATTCGAATGACAAAAAATATGTGAACATTTGAGTTCTCGCATTTCAAATCTTTTTCAAGATTCGTGAAATTCGATGGCTCGAATGTTCCAGGTTATCAGCATCAAATGAATTTTAACGAATACAGTCAAAATACAAGCTTTCAAACAAGTGTCTGGCATTCTTCTTCAGTTCTACTCTTCAACAGGAAGTTATATTGTACTTAAGATGGTAGTAGTTCGAATTTGCTTTGGAAATTAATCAAGCTTTGTATTCACATAACTTTTCTTTTTACAAGAAACTGAGGACAACATATGTCCAGTATAAATTTGGGGGAAAATGCTTGCATTGCAGGCATAACTTTTATTTGAAATTTGGTTGTAATTTTCAATGCTAAGTCTTCTTGACATGAATATTCATAGAACTTTACAACTAAGCTGAATTGATTTTAAGACTTCTATATATAAAGTACAGAAAACTTTTGAATTCTATACATAAATTGGAGCATTTTTACAATACCTACGCTAAATAATTCTCAACAAGATCTTTCAAAAGATACAAATAATCTAAAAATCATATCTTTTGAAATTTTCTTACATATGATGTTTTTAAATATATGATGCTTTCAAGAACTTTTTTCCATTGAATGATTATGTTTTTAAGATTGTTTTACCATTGAATGCTTATGTTTTTAAATATGATATTTTTCTCTGAATGGTTTTTGTGTACTAAATTATTATTATAATGTATTAATTAGCAATGTACGTTAAAGAGTAATTACATCGATGTAAAATTTGCAATACAATGTGAATTGAATATTTATCGTTCATTGTAACAGGAGTGTTTTCCCTAACTCTTCGCCTAAAATAACTATAATTGGCTTAAAACTTCAATCGGTTTAATACTTTTTCTCAAAATGTTAAACAAACATAAAACTGGTCATTGAATTATAGCATTTTCATTAAAATTCCACCTGCAAAATGTACCTTGTTTCATACGTTCTTGTTCACGAAGCATAAATATTCATTGTATTTTTATATGAGTAAGTTTGCACTTAAAATCTAGCTTAAAATTATTTAGATTTATAAAACAACGGACCACGTTTTATTAAAACTGTGTTCTAAAATTAGCAAATTTTGAAATTAAGGTATTAGAGTTATAAATAAAACTGTTAGTTTATAATTAAGCTATTTAATATGAAGTCGTTAAGTAATACGACAATGTTTGCAGATCAACAAATTTAACAGTAATACGAATGCTTTGTTAGATCAGATCTAGGACCAAGAAGTAAAATAATCTACTTAAAAGTATTCAATAACGTGTGTATTACTTAAATATATTCTATTTTAGAATTATAACCAAGACTGAAAGAGATTCTTCTAGAAATAGAAAAAAAGGAGCCTAGAATTAGGGCAGGCATTAGTTTAGAAAAATTCTAGTTTGCTATGCATAACTTTTATAGAATGTACGAAATGTAAAATTAAGGTAAACAATTTTTTGATGAGAAATTGAATTTTACATTGTTTTTGAAGTTTACATTGTTCTTTATTTCCATGCATTTGTTTTCAAACAATACTAATCTCATTAAAACTATATTATGCATACGCATTCGATAAGTGTTTGATATTCTTCAGCGCTACCTTTCGCTAAGAATTAAAATTGTGCTGAAAATGATAGCAACTCGAATTTAGTTTCGGCAATTCTCATTCTTTGATTTTGCATACCTTCTGATATAAATACATGAGCATGAGATATGTTTAATATTTGCTCTTTAGTTTTCGTAAAAAGAATTTATTATTAGTTTAAATCTAGTATCTTTGTTGTATAAGTAAATTATAATTCTGCGTCAACCAATATGGTGCACTAATTATTCAGTTTCAAACCTTGCTTGAAGCACTGTCATTTTCAAACATTGTCTTCATTACTAAGACATTAATCATTGAAACCTTCCCCGCAGTTTTAAAAACAAATAATACGAAACTGAAATTACAAACAAAATCTTTTGCCAAAAAAAAAAAAAAAAAAAAAAAATGCGCATTGTGTTTTAATGGATTCAGCTAAAATAAAAGCAAGCTTTTAAAGTTCTTTACATCAATCTGTCGATACAATTAACTGAAATTTATATTTATATCATTACTTTCAAATGTAAGTGAACAAAATGAGTATTACGGGAATATTATTTCCGATTTAACTTAATTTCTTGCTAATAAATGTGTGACACGCAAATTCTATTAAATAGATTTGATAGAATTTTATCAAATATTGATCAAATATTTTTGTTTGCAAAACATTTTATTGGCAAGTGCTACATTTAATTTTTTTTTTTTTTTTTTTTTTTTTCGAAAAAAGCCTATTTCAATTCTGAGAATTATTTTATAAAAGATATTTTTGGATTAGGCTGACAATCACACACTGCATGAAATTTGAAATAATATTGTTGTGTAGTTCTAGTGGATGGGAACAACATTTTCAGATATATGTGTCACAAGGAAGTCTGATATCGGATCAATGAACGTCTGTTAATTAGACATTTATAATAATATGCTATCCTAAGCATATAGTGTATGAAACAGAAGATGCTTAGATTGTGTCGCCTGGTTGAACGGAAGTAGCATTTACTAAGGACTAAGACCTTAGAGACAGAAAAAAGACATAAGTAAAATAAAATTGACATGACTTAAAAATCTAAATTATTTTAAGTAACTATACTATCTGTAGATTTGTTACTAATGTCTTGGTATTCGTTACTAAGTCTTGGTATTGCTGGCTGACTTTGATAAACAGCGACCATGTAAGTACTTGCGAAAGAAATATAACTTTTTTATATACCATTCCATAAAGGTTAAGCAAGACTTCACTAAATTCATAAAGGTTAAGAAAGTGATGTGTAAAAATTATCAAAAGTATTCAAGCTAAACAGATCTATCCGTGGGAGCTCCTAAATACAGGAACCAGATTTCTGAATTCAATGTTATAAACAAACTGTTCTGTATTCATCGCAGTATGTGTTCTACTGCTTTTAATGAAAAAAACCAAAACTGTAAAAAAGATAGACGAAGCACTGCGTTGTTCCTGCCAAGAAAGCATCATTAAAGTCTGAAGCATTGCTATTAAATGTAACATCAAACATACATGATTTTAAAACTAAATTTTTACGTAAAGTAGTTATAATGAAGA